AGAATCACTTGGCTCGGTTCGGTTCGGGTCTGGTTTGATTCGGTCAATTTGAGAGTTTTGTTCAGCCCTAACTAGCAAAAGTTAGCCTCAAGTCAAGTTGCCTACAGATTTTCGTAGACTATAGAACCAAGATCAGTATCCAACAGATTCCAAACTTTTGAGGTTGTGTACTCCGATTGGAGCTTGTCAACATAAACATATGAATTTGGAGACCTATTTGGGCTAGTGGCTTCTATATTTACATTTAATTTCCTAGTACAGAGTATTGACATGCAGGAATTATCCAACAGATTCCAAACTTAGTGTTTGTGATTGTTCCAGAAGAAATGAAAACCTTGATATACCCCAGAATAATACATTTTTGTTACGACGAGACATATTGGCAGCCGCTGATCCCTTCGTTTCACTTGGTTGGGGCAGAGTTTCAGCCTTCCTTCCACCGAATCTAAAAAACCTTAGAGCACCCCCTACATATTTGATACCTTCTCCTACAAAGAAACTTATAACACCAACCCCATTTAATTTAGGAAAAATTTCTATTTCCAAGCTTTCAGAATAATTATTTATGATTGAAGGTTGTGTACTCCGATTGGAGCTTGTCAACATAAACATTTAAATTTAGAGACCTATTTGGGCTAGTGGCTTTTGTATTTACATTTAATTTCCTAGTACAGAGTATTGACATGCAGGAATTAATTGACGCCTCAGATCATGAAAGCACAACTTTGACCAACTTGATTTGCTGGATGATAAACCTGTGGCATTTTCCATTGGAAAGCAAGATAGGTTGCATAAGCCCATAACCGACCCTTCCAAAGGTCAATCTACCTCTGGAAACATGTATTCCCATTGAGGAAGGAGAGAATGATAGTGGGTTCTATTGAAGAAAAAAATTCTTTTTTTCTTGTGATCCTTATTAGAGTATTCTTTCCAAATGCTGTCAACATTACGTGATAGATTCAACAGTTTTGCTTTTAGCACGTTCCCACCAAAACCAACCCATTCCTCAGCAGATGATTGTTGAGGACATGCTTCTTTTAGGAAATTCTCTAGTCACATCTGTCTCCTCTTTCTACTAAGATCATTTTCATACGATTTCTAAGGAAACCGGAGGTTACTTCCAAAACATAATTCTTCCCATTTCAGCTTTCTGATACTGAATGCAATTGCTTCGGAACAAGACACTAGGTCTGCTTAGGTTGGGCCCATAATCAATCTCCTCCATGTTTGTCTATTCAGTAAACAATTTGAATTCAGTCAATACAGCAGAGCTCATTTACATAATAAATCATGCTTCGGATTGTTCTCCCTACTTTTTCTGAACATGATCTTGTTCATCTTCCAATTTTTTTTTATACATTAGGAACCTTGTGACCAACAATATTTGTTTCTCATATATTGTAACCTCTAGATTAATAGTGTTTTTTAAAGTATTGTTTAAAATAATAATTTAAATTTATTTATTTTCTTTGAGAATCGTATATGGCAAACCCAGTTTCAAATTCCATGAATATAAACAGTCTTAAAAGCAATAAGAGTGACCCAACCCAATCACCGCCTTGTTTCACTTTGATAGTAAAACTTTCCTTTTTCAAATTAATCCCTCATCTTTCATTTTTGCTTTGTTATAGCAGTCTAACTCTATCTACTAAATTAACAAGAATACCGACCTTGCTAACAGAAAAATATGTCAATGACGTGAAGAAAACAGATAACAGCGGGAAAATTCGTTGAGGAAGAAAACTGCAAGTTTTGTACCTCCAGTTTTAGGGAAACCAAAGTAACGGGTGGTCGAAAAAAGCCTCGGATCAACACAATACACAGGCAAAACAGCCTCCGATGAAAACCAGGCCATAAGCAAAGCCTCATTATCCAATACCCTCAAATCATTTCTGAACCAAACAATGGCCACCCCTTTGCCTTTCCTCTTGGGCAATGATTCAGCAGTGTATCTCCGAAACGTCTGTTCAGCTATTCGGTCGATTTCTTCAGAACAGAAACCGGGCACCTGATGCACCGTTGTTTCAGCGCGGATAGGTTTGGAAAATTGCATCGTATTATTGGTTGAGAATTTGTGTAGGAAAAGTGCGAATTCTGTTAGCGGAAGAGTTTTTATGGGACGTAAATTTGTGCAGAGAGAATGGAGCATGATTGGATGGAGTTCTTGTTTTCATGAGTAATGACGAGTTGGAAAAAGCGTCTTTTTGGAAGCGCCATGGCGTGGCAATTTCTGAGCCACCATTAATCAGTGACAGCCATGAGGACACCAAGCTCTTTCTCGTAGAGAGATGGTGGCATCATGGCATGGCATGGCATTGCATTATTTCAACTTGTAAATTTAACCGGTGCTCAATAAACTTTAAACTTGATTACTACTTAGTTACTCATTTTTCACGGGTTACTAAATATTCACTCATCTTTCCATATAGTTATTCATCCATTAATCGTCTCTTCAAATAATTGGACGACTTTTGCGGCAACTTTTCGACAACTTCTGATCACCAAGAATGTCGAATTTTGATACTGTTGAAAAGCCCACGATATTTTCTTCAATTGTCACCCAAAATCTCCCCATAACTTCAAGGGATTCGATTGGAAAATTGTCTTAAAAGTCGTCCAAAAATTCTGAAAATCTGGGTAGATGTTCAAAATTTTTGGGCGACATTTAAGGCAATTTTTCGGCAACTTCCGACCATCAAAACTGTCGAACTTTGATACCGTTGGAAAGCACACAATGTCCTCTTCAATTACCACCAAAAATTTCTCCATAACTCCAAATGATTCGATCGGAATAAACCTATAAAATCAGCATCCCGAAAATGCGAAAATTTGGACACAGTTCGGGATGCTGACTTTGTGGGTTTATTTCGACCGAATTTTTTGAAGTAATGGGGAAATTTTGGATGGTAATTAAAGATGACAGTGTGGGTTTTCCAACGATATCAAAATCCGACAGTTTTGATAGTCGGAAGTTGCCGAAAATTTGCTTTAAAAGTCTCCCAAAAAATCTGAAAATCTGTGCAGATTTTCAGAATTTTGGGCGACTTTTAAGGCAATTTTCCGATTGAATCTCTTGGAGTTATAGGGAGATTTTGGGTGGTAATTGAAAAGGATATCGTGGGCTTTTCAATATTATCAAAATTCGGCATTCTTGGTAGTCGGAAGTTGTCGAAAAGTTGCCGAAAAAGTCGTCCAATTATTTGAAGAGACGAGTGGTGGATGAGTAACTATATAGAAAGATGAGTGAGTATTCAGTAACCCGTGAAACATAAGTGAGCAAGTAGTAACCAAGTTTAAAATTCAGTGAGCATTAGTTAAATTTACTCTTATTTCAACTAAAAGTGGGTTCGGCAAAAAAAAAATTTGAAGTTTATAAATTAATTAAATATTATTTTATTTAGACATTCTTTAACAGCCTGTTCAATAGTAATTAGAAGAATTGATTTTTCAACCATTAGAGAGAAAAATGGATCTCACCTGTGAATGAAGAAGTTAAAAATGATGATTGAAATAGTGAAATAACGGTCAAAAAATTATTTTTTTGGTGAAAAATTGCTATCAAATAGGAGCTAAGTTCAATAGATTTTATTTATTAATAATACATTTTTTGAGAGACATTATTATATTATAAATACTTAAAATTTTAGATAAGCAAGTACTAAGTCAAACGCCTATTATAAATTAACTATTTATACATTGAAGTTCGATAGTTTTACTTATGAGACTAGTTGTCTTGGTGATATGAGCAAGAAAAAAGAAAGTATTGCTCCTGCATGCAATTAGAGGTGGTAATGGGTCGAGCCGACATATGAGCTCGACTCGTGCTCAAGGGGCAAACTCGACTCGGCCTATGAGCTCGTGAGTTCACATGTAATTAGTTGTCTTGGTGATATGAGCAAGAAAAAAGAAAGTATTGCTCCTGCATGCAATTAGAGATGGTAATGGGTCGAGCTGGCACACGAGCTCGGCTCTTGCTCAAGAGGCGAGATCAGCTCAGCCCACGAGCTCGCGAGTTCACAAGCCCTCGTGAACTTTTGGCTCGTGGGCTTGCTCGCGAGCTTGACGAGCCGAGTTCCCACCCTCGTTGGACTCGTGCTTGGGCTCGTCAAATGATGAGCCCAAGCTTTAACAAGCCGAGCGCCATTTGACATCCCTGCATGCAATTATATTTTTACCACTCTTCTAAATATTTTAACTATTACAACATGTGTTGGAAGGTGTTCATAAAAAAGTTTAATTTATAATATGGGAGAAGGGGGTGAAGAATAATTGAATGGGGAATTGGTGGTTGTACATTCGAGCTCACAACTCGGATGACAATCCCATCACATGCGGGGGGGCCACAATTTTTTTTGTTGAGCGTGAGCCCCTCACATGTGAGGGGGCTATACATGTAGAGTCCGAACTGAATTGTATATATAACTTAGTCCAATTGAATAATATTTGAATATCTTTCGAGAGTAAAAAAAGTGGCTTTGAGTTTATATACTTGAGTATCATATAATCATAATAGGTGATTATTAGTTTGATGGATTTTTGCCCCTTTTGTCATATTGTTCTAACATGTAACTCTTGTTGTCAAACGTATATCATAAAGTATTGAATAATATTTGTGCATCTTTCGAAATATGTGAATAAAAAAGTGGCTTGGTATTTATAGACCTTAGTATCGTCTATTTATAATAGATGATTATTAGTTTGATGGATTTTTGTCCTTTTCATTATTTTGTTTTGACATTAAGTCTTGTTGTCACACGTATATCATAAAGTGTATTAAATCGACTAACTTTATTAGTTTGGCAACCATTTATTATGTTATAAAAAATGTTAAAGTGACACGTCTTGAAAATCTAGTTACCTAGAGGCAAATCAACATGTACCAAAAAAAGTTACAGAGCATCACTTGTCCCTTCACTTTCGTGGGGGTTAACACAGAAGGGGAATGCAGGGTCGAGTGAAATAACAAGAATTATAATGGGTCAGAGTCGCTGGAAAAATACCCTGTCTGACCGTTTCTCCATGCATCAAACAATGTCGGATTTTGGCTCCAGTTAGCCTCCACTTTTCGAGGACCACCTGATATAGAAAGGCATAAAACTAAAATTAGGAAATCAGTTACCTAAAGTGATAGAATAATAGCCTTCCTCTATTCTGAATAAAGCATTACATATGCTGATCTTAACATACTTAATATTTTAAAATGAACACTGGAATTAACTGAACCCATTGTTCCAAAAAGCAACCTTATTTTTCTGAACCCTGCAATGGCACCTGCTATCCCAAAGTTATTATTAAAAACTACACCGACTTGCAGTGTGATCAGCAAGGGTTTGCCTAGAGAAATTGTAGGAAATGGCTATTGTTCACTGTCCATTTATGAAAAGGCCACTTTAACTGATTATGAAAATGACAACTTTTCATAAGAAGTTCTAAAATACCTTTTAATATCAATTCGCTCGAGGTAGTTCATATTGTCACTAAAGACAGACAACTGTTGCAAAGGCTGATTGTTGGGCAACTATGTGTCTAGCATTCTGCATTTCCAGAACTGTCTCGAAGGAAGAGAACTGTCACTAAGGCTTATTGTCGGGCAACTAGGTGTCCAGCATTCTACAGTTCTAGACAGTTCGGAGTGTATAAAGACAGTTGAACAGTCGCTAAGGAAGAGAAATGTAGTGAAAGCTGATTGTCTTGTGGGTAATAGAATGTTCCTTAATAGCTTGTCTTAGAAGCTTAAACTTTTTCTCAAAGATTATGCACTTGCCAACCATGGCCTATACGACATTTTTGGTTTAAAGAAAGAGTAAATTAGACACTGTACATTTAGAAGTGATCATTTGTACAATATTGTCAAGAAGTGGCCATCTTTTTTTTTTCTTTTTCTTTTTCTTTTTTTACTCTCCTATAAAGCGGCTATTTTAGAAAAAAAAAATGTTAAGACCACAACATTTCAAACTCTGAATTAGCAACTATGGCTATTTGTACATCTTCCAAGGATTAAATATTATTTCATTCTCATACCTGCATGAAAGATAGAGTTTCCTTGCTTGATTGATAGAAATCTAAAGTAATCCCTCCATATCAATTCGAACAAAACCCTGAAAGGCAAAGAAGTGTTTCAGAGATAGATTATGAGACAGTTTAAATCCTTAACGAATATATAGTAGCTTGAAATTTTAAGGTTTTGGGTTTTTATCTCTTGATATTTTCTAGCATACAATAACAGTGACAGGAATATCAACTTTCAGTGTAAGAAATCAAGTTTTAATTATTACCTTCCATTTCCTTAAAGAGTACCAAGAGGCAAGAAAGTAAACTGAACTAGTCAGATAGAAAATCTATATTTATACTGCATTATCGGATTCTCAATTTGATTCAACAGGAAGTAGATACTCAGGAAAAAAAAAGTAGATGAAATAGAGAATATTATATACTATAGTCGAAATCCACTCTTCGGATAAGATAGCATGCATACACTGATACACCATAACACATGAACACAAATGACGATATACCAGCATGTACTATCAATTTAGTTTTTTAATATGCATACATGCCTATCTACATACACATTTCACAACCAGATACACGTGGGCATAGTAACAGAAAAAGAAATTACCAGTAAGTTGAATCATTTGATTCTCGCTCCCTTTCAAATCTCTTCACCTAAACAAGTTAAGTTCAAAGCATCAGTGTTCATTGACATAATAATATTGCTAATGTGAGATTTGAAGTAAAAAATACGTATCTTTGTACCTCTTCGTAAATAAAACGAGGTGAAAGGCTTCCAGAGGCAAGCCAAGGAGAAAATTTTGTGGAGTAATCAGGTCCTAACATTCCATTACGTGTTTCTTTGTAGGTCCTCAATAGATTCTACAGCAGGCAAAAGAAAAAAATAATTGCACAATTTGATTATCTTAAATTGAAACAACAATATTATTTTCTTATGACCTAATGTTGATAATTTCTGTTCAAACCAATTTGCAGCTTTGTCCCTGGATTTGAAGAATTGGCTTACCATTACAAAGAAGATTTTTATTAATTTTCTTTGATCTATCTAGTAAATCCATTTTTCTTCGAGGCAAGTAAAGGAGTCGAAAAGTGTCTCCAGAAATTCTATAACCTATTTTATATGAAATCTTGTCCATCTTTAAAATACTTGCATGCGAATTAAACCTTGCCTTTTGTCTTCCTTTTAAGCATTTGAACTCATTTCCAAAGCTGTCTATTATTATTCATCAGCATGAGCCCTTGTTAGCCATCAATACTGACTCCTCGTTGTATTTTGCAATAAACACAATCCTAGCATGCCTTATCAGATAAAAGTGCCATACATCTCCACAGTTTTAAGTGAAATCAAAGAAGCCTCTAAAGAAATTCTTCATGATTGGAAAAAGAGTTCACAACGTATAACTGTGTTTCGTAAGTATAAACAAAATGCATGCAGCAGAAATCCAACTTGAGAAAAAGAGAAGAGAGACATAGAACATAACTCCTACATGTCCTAGTTAATACATCACGAGTAACTGGAAATACATTAAGAAAAAAACTCTTGCCTTAGTCCAGAAATACTCGCATACTCTACTGACAGCTGCACTTTCACCTCCCACAAATGCCAATCCTTTGCCAACCTGCAAGAAGTGAGGTATGTTTTACTTTATATTTGATATTTGCAAACAACATGTTATACTGATCAATGAAAGAGAAATTGCCTTCGCTTTCTCTAGCCCAAGAACAGTAATTTCCGGTATACATCCCCAATCCTTTATGCTGGGTGCCGGACCGAGTGATGTTGGGATCTTTATGCAACTTCGCACTTTGGACTTGGATTCAACTGACTGTGAATTTGATAATCAGAGAACTAGCTTTTCTGATGGTCAAAATATGTGATCTCAAACCTATAAGAAGAAAATCACTACCTTACGAAACTGAGTATACACATCTGGTAAAGAGTTGCAACTGAATGGAAGATCATCTATATGGTACATACTAGACCCCCAGATCAATTCCAATTTAGTGCTATTTGTAGAATTTGGCTTAACAGATTGACCTTTGGATGATGATAGCACAACTTTCTGCAAACTTTTGGAAACTAATCTTTCAACATTCAGCTCCTCACTGCATGTTTCTTTCTGGGCATAAACCTATTCCATGCAGAAGGTTTATTTATTATCTTACCATCGAAACCAAAAAAAGAAAAGAAAGAAATTGTATAACTGATGACACTATAAACGAGTTTAGGTAAATGTCTTAACAGTGTGGACTCCATATGCCTTAGCAAGTGAAGGAAGAATTTCTTCAGGTTTCCCATTTTGAATTAATAGGTCTAGACCCAGCTTCATCAAATTCTTTTTCAAGTCAGCCAAACACTCGATAAGAAATTGTGCCCTCAGGCCTGCAAAAGAAAAGTGTTTGTATCCAATTCTTCTAAGATAAAAAGTAGATTAATCGAGAATTCAGAAAATAACACCCCGAGTAAACTTATAATATCCCACTTAGCCTCCAACAGCGATCACGAGAATTCATAATTAATTGAGGTGCAACTTCAAGAAATTGACAGAGTAACAGCCCAACAATATGTTTATATTTCGATATTCAAGCATCACTAAGCCCTTGTTTGTCAACCATTCTCCCACGTTCTACCACATTATTTTTTCTACAGTACTCATTTTCAACCACACATTCTCCATTAAAATAATATTACACATTTATCAAAAAAAATTCCTTCTTTTTTAACACACATTTCAAAATCAGTCACTATTTCATACTCCAATTTTTGAAATTAAAGGGCTTCAAACAGGGCCTAAATACATACCTTAGCTGCTACACACATACGAGCTTAATGTTGATATTATGTTTTAGGAGTAATCTTGACACAATTTGGTGGTGGTGCGTATCCCAACAAAACTCTCTTTATCTTCAGCCCCATTCCCCATCCAAATCCATAGACATGCAAAAATGAAATGTTTTTTAATACTTTCCTTTCCAATTTATCTCTCTAACCATGCTCTATATCCTGGTTTCATATATGGGCAAGGATATTCTGTTCAATTTCGAGTTTCATAAAAAAGGTTACATTCTATTTTGCCCTTTTTGGTCTATGAATTCTGTTCCAACCATCCAGACAGCAAAAGAAGGGATATTAATGTCCCTATGCAAATGTCAAGATTATCCTTGTGCTTCTGATCTAGGAACATGGGGTCTCAAAAGGTTGCACTATAAAAGGCATAGTGTCCTAGGCACTTCCCAGGACATTGCCATTGTCCTTGGTGTCCTACTCCTCTCATGAGACCAAGTCACCATCCTTGAATAATCATCTTGTTCATTCGCAAAAAGCAAAACAGTACCATACGGGTTGCTTGCTTTGTCATGCTAAAATTGAATAAGATCACTTGATCAGTAGCCTACTCACAAGTAGGGCTAAGCATGGTCCGGAATGAGAGCCGAACCGGACCTGAAATTTTCGGGCATCTACTAAATGAAACTTTTGGGTCAAAATTTAATTAATGAACAATCTGGGATCGGTTCAGTTCGGTTCTTGGGTTTCATACTATAATTAAATTTTTTAATATTTATAAAGTTATATTAATTTAACTAATGATATGTTCAATTTTAGTTTTTACAAAATAATGAAGTCAAATCTTATGTGTCTTTTGCATCTTTTTTTTGTTGAGATTTTCATAAATTTGATTGTTAAAATTACAGAAAGAGGGAGAAAACGAGTTCAAAATAATTAAGAGAGGTGTTGTCGAGCTTCGATTTGATTTCTCCATAACGATAGAAGCGACAATATGGTAGAATAATAAATTTAGGTAAAATTTAGGTCAATTTGATTAAGTTGGCTTGGATTAAAAATTAGAAATAGGAAAATCATATTTTAGACTAAGTTAAATTAATTAGTTAGCAAATTTATCTAGAAAAAAATAATTTGGCTTATTCAAAATAAATTAATTAAAAAATTAAAAAGATTCGGTTCTTATTCGATTATTCGGTTCTTGATCTAGAATTAAGAATTGAATCAAACCCGTCGGTTCTCGATTCATATACCCGTTCGGGTATTAAATTTAAGAAGAATCGCTTGGCTCGGTTCGGTTCGGGTCCGGTTTGATTCGGTCGATTTGAGAGTTTTGTTCAGCTCTAACTAGCAAAAGTTAGCCTCAAGTCAAGTTGCCTACAGATTTTCGTAGACTATAGAACCAAGATCATTATCCAACAGATTCCAAACTTTTGAGGTTGTGTACTCCGATTGGAGCTTGTCAACATAAACATATGAATTTGGCGACCTATTTGGGCTAGTGACTTCTGTATTTACATTTAATTTCCTAGTACAGAGTATTGACATGCAGGAATTATCCAACAGATTCCAAACTTAGTGTTTTTGATTGTTCCAGAAGAAATGAAAACCTTGATATACCCCAGAATAATACATTTTTGTTACCACGAGACATATTGGCAGCCGCTGATCCCTTAGTTTCACTTGGTTGGGGCAGAGTTTCAGCCTTCCTTCCACCGAGCACCCCCTACATATTTGATACCTTCTCCTACAAAGAAACTTATAACACCAACCCCATTTAATTTAGGAAAATTTTCTATTTCCAAGCTTTCAGAATAATTATTTATGATTGAAGGTTGTGTACTCCGATTGGAGCTTGTCAACATAAACATTTAAATTTAGAGACCTATTTGGGCTAGTGGCTTCTGTATTTACATTTAATTTCCTAGTACAGAGTATTGACATGGAGGAATTAATTGACGCCTCAGATCATGAAAGCACAACTTTGATCAACTTGATTTGCTGGATGATAAACCTGTGGCATTTTCCATTGGAAAGCAAGATAGGTTGCATAAGCCCATAACCGACCCTTCCAAAGGTCAATCTACCTCTGGAAACATGTATTCCCATTGAGGAAGGAGAGAATGATAGTGGGTTCTATTGAAGAAAAAAATTCTTTTTTTCTTGTGATCCTTATTAGAGTATTCTTTCCAAATGCTGTCAACATTACGTGATAGATTCAACAGTTTTGCTTTTAGCACGTTCCCACCAAAACCAACCCTTTCCTCAGCAGATGATTGATGAGGACATGCTTCTTTTAGGAAATTCTCTAGTCACATCTGTCTCCTCTTTCTACTAAGATCATTTTCATACGATTTCTAAGGAAACCGGAGGTTACTTCCAAAACATAATTCTTCCCATTTCAGCTTTCTGATACTGAATGCAATTGCTTCGGAACAAGACACTAGGTCTGCTTAGGTTGGGCCCATAATCAATCTCCTCCATGTTTGTCTATTCAGTAAACAATTTGAATTCAGTCAATACAGCAGAGCTCATTTACATAATAAATCATGCTTCGGATTGTTCTCCCTACTTTTTCTGAACATGATCTTGTTCATCTTCCAATTTTTTTTTATACATTAGGAACCTTGTGACCAACAATATTTGTTTCTCATATATTGTAATCTCTAGATTAATAGTGTTTTTTAAAGTATTGTTTAAAATAATAATTTAAATTTATTTATTTTCTTTGAGAATCGTATATGGCAAACCCAGTTTCAAATTCCATGAATATAAACAGTCTTAAAAGCAATAGTAGTCACCCAACCCAATCACCGCCTTGTATCACTTTGATAGTAAAACTTTCCTTTTTCAAATTAATCCCTCATCTTTCATTTTTGCTTTGTTATAGCAGTCTAACTCTATCTACTAAATTAACAAGAATACTGACCTTGCTAACAGAAAAATATGTCAATGACGTGAAGAAAACAGATAACAGAGGAAAATTCGTTGAAAAAGAAAACTGCAAGTTTTGTACCTCCAGTTTTAGGGAAACCAAAGTAACGGGTGGTCGAAAAAAGCCTCGGATCAACACAATACACAGGCAAAACAGCCTCCGATGAAACCCAGGCCATAAGCAAAGCCTCATTATCCAATACCCTCAAATCGTTTCTGAACCAAACAATGGCCACCCCTTTGCCTTTCCTCTTGGGCAATGATTCAGCAGTGTATCTCCGAAACGTCTGTTCAGCTATTCGGTCGATTTCTTCAGAACAGAAACCGGGCACCTGATGCACCGTTGTTTCAGCGCGGATAGGTTTGGAAAATTGCATCGTATTATTGGTTGAGAATTTGTGTAGGAAAAGTGCGAATTCTGTTGGCGGAAGAGTTTTTATGGGACGTAAATTTGTGCAGAGAGAATGGAGCATGATTGGACGGAGTTCTTGTTTTCATGAGTAATGACGAGTTGGAAAAAGCGTCTTTTTGGACGCGCCATGGCGTGGCAATTTCTGAGCCACCATTAATCAGTGACAGCCATGAGGACACCAAGGTCTCTCTCGTAGAGAGATGGTGGCATCATGGCATGGCATGGAATTATTTCAACCCGTAAATTTAACCAGTGCTGAATGAACTTTAAACTTGATTACAACTTGCTTACTCATCTTTCACGAGTTACTAAATATTCAGTCATCTTTTCATATAATTATTCATCCACTAATTATCTCTTCAAATAATTGGACGACTTTTGCGACAACTTTTCGACAATTTCTGATCACCAAAAATGTCGAATTTTGATACTGTTGAAAAGCTCACGATATCCTCTTCAATTGTCACCCAAAATCTCCCTATAACTCCAAGGGATTCGATTGGAAAATTGTCTTAAAAGTCATCCAAAAATTTTGAAAATCTGGGTAGATTTACAGAATTTTTGGGCGACATTTAAGGCAATTTTTCGACAACTTCCGACCATCAAAATTGTTGGACTTTGATACTGTTGGAAAGCACACAATGTCCTCTTCAATTACCACCAAAAATTTCTCCATAACTCCAAATGATTCGATCGGAATAAACCTATAAAATCAGCATCCCAAAAATGCGAAAATTTGGACACAGTTCGGGATGCTGACTTTGTGGGTTTATTCCGACCGAATTTTTTGAAGTTCTGGGAAAATTTTGGGTGGTAATTAAAGATGACAATGTGGGTTTTCCAACGATATCAAAATCCGACAGTTTTGATGGTCGAAAATTGCCGAAAAATTGCTTTAAAAGTCTCCCAAAAATTTTGAAAATCTGTGCAGATTTTCAGAATTTTGGGCGACTTTTAATGCAATTTTCCTATTGAATCCCTTGGAGTTATAGGGAGATTTTGGGTGGTAATTGAAAAGAACATCGTGGGCTTTTCAATATTATCAAAATTCGACATTCTTGGTAGTTGGAAGTTGTCGAAAAGTTGCCGAAAAAGTCATCCAATTATTTGAAGAGACGAGTGGTGGATGAGTAACTATATAGAAAGATAAGTGAGTATTCAGTAACCCGTGAAACACGAGTGAGTAAGTAGTAACCAAGTTTAAAATTCAGTGAGCATTAGTTAAATTTACTCTTATTTCAACTAAAAGAGGGTTCGGCAAAAAAAAAAAAAATTTGAAGTTTATAAATTAATTAAATATTATTTTATTTAGACATTCTTTAACGGCCTGTTCAATAGTAATTAGAAGAATTGATTTTTCAACTATTAGAGAGAAAAATGGATCTCGCCTGTGAATGAAGAAGTAAAAAATGATGATTGAAATAGTGAAATAACGGTCAAAAAATTATTTTTTTGGTGAAAAATTGCTATCAAATGGGAGCTAAGTTCAATAGATTTTATTTATTAATAATACATTTTTTGAGAGACATTATTATATTATAAATACTTAAAATTTTAGATAAGCAAGTACTAAGTCAAACGCCTATTATAAATTAACTATTTATACATTGAAGTTCGATAGTTTTACTTATGAGACTAGTTGTCTTGATGATATGAGCAAGAAAAAAGAAAGTATTGCTCCTGCATGCATTTAGAGATGGTAATGGGTCGAGCCGACATATGAGCTCGACTCGTGCTCAAGGGGCAAACTTGACTCGGCCTATGAGCTCGTGAGTTCACATGTAATTAGTTGTCTTGGTGATATGAGCAAGAAAAAAGGAAGTATTGCTCCTGCATGCAATTAGAGATGGTAATGGGTCGAGCCGGCACACGAGCTCGGCTCTTGCTCAAGAGGCGAGATCAACTCCGCCCACGAGCTTGTGAGTTCACAAGCCCTTGTGAACTTTTGGCTCGTGGGCTTGTTCACGAGCTCGACGAGCCGAGTTCCCACCCTCATTGGACTCGTGCTTGGGCTCGTCAAATGATGAGCCCGAGCTTTAACGAGCCGAGCGCCATTTGACATCCCTACATGCAATTATATTTTTACCACTCTTCTAAATATTTCAACTATTACAACATGTGTTGGAAAGTGTTCATAAAAAAGTTTAATTTATAATAAGGGAGAAGGGGGTGAAGAATAATTGAATGGGGAATTGGTGGTTGTACATTCGAGCTCACAACTCGGATGACAATCCCATCACATGCGGGGGGCCACAATTTTTTTTGTTGAGCGTGAGCCCCTCACATGTGAGGGGTCTATACATGTAGAGTCCGAACTGAATTGTATATATAACTTAGTCCAATTGAATAATATTTGAATATCTTTCGAAATATGTGAGTAAAAAAAGTGGCTTGGAGTTTATATACCTGAGTATCATATAATCATAATAGGTGATTATTAGTTTGATGGATTTTTGCCCCTTTTGTCATATTGTTCTAACATGTAACTCTTGTTGTCAAACGTATATCATAAAGTATTGAATAATATTTGTGCATCTTTCGAAATATGTGAATAAAAAAGTGGCTTGGTATTTATAGACCTTAGTATCGTCTATTTGTAATAGATGATTATTAGTTTGACAGATTTTTGTCCTTTTCATCATTTTGTTTTGACATGTAAGTCTTGTTGTCACACGTATATCATAAAGTGTATTAAATCGACTAATTTTATTAGTTTGGCAACCATTTATTATGTTATAAAAAATGTTAAAGTGACATGTCTTGAAAATCTAGTTACCTAGAAGCCATTGTCACCCCCCCTGGGGCCCCCTCCAAACAAAACTTAATTGAGGAGAGGATCCAAAAAGAACCTAAAACTAGATGAAGAAGGAGATTAGACAATTTCCTTTATAGTATGTATTTTAAATAGCAAAGCATATATTGTTTAGATATGAGTACTACTGATCGGATAGTTGTTTCGCGCGGGTTCGTCGCTAACAATTAAAAAGGGATCAGACGATTGTATAAAGGACAAACCTCTTGAGACAAAGTCTCAAAAAGAGGTGTTCTTTATTGGCAATGACTTTACAATTGGAAATTAAAAACAGAATGCCTTCAAGGGGCGTAAGCGCACGAGTTACTGAAAGAAGTGTTTAAATCTAAGCTAAGAAATTTAAAATTACATGTTCTCTGTTCGAAAGTTTTTTTGATTCGATCCTTCTGCTCTATGTCTTTTCTTCCTTTTATACTCTCTGGATGATCTCTTTGTGATCAACCGCCTAAAAATTGTTTGATCATTCTATAACTGCCCACTTTCCTCATAATGACCAACTTGTCATGGAACTCCCTTTTTTAACTGCTGCCATTACTCTTCGTCGTTCAACTGTTTTCGATTGAATTCCTTGAATCGTGGAACGTGATAGGTCTGCTTAATAACTGCTTTGATAATTGCACTTCTTGATAACCATAACACTTCATGTTTGCTAAGACCTTGGGCGACTCGAAGGTTTGGGCGAGAATAGAGTAGCAATTTTGGACGACTGCATGGCACTCCATTCGCTCAGGTCCTGGGCGATTTACAAGCTTGGGCGATGGTGTTACCGCATTCCTGGGCTTCCCTATTTGGACTTTCATCCTGAATTGTCTGATTGAGCTTCATCCTTTGGGCTATCCGATTTGGGGATCCTCCTATTGGGCTTCATTCCTTGGACTGTTCAATTTAGACCAAATTTTTATGTGTCAACATTTACCCCCCAATATGGCAGAATTAATACCAATTATTAAATTTTGCCATATTCACTTTTGTGTTTCCAGCAACATTCGAAATTCCCAAGAATTTCAATCATTGTTTTCTTCCATAGCTTTGAAAAGGTGCGACGTTTTACAAACCCTTATAACCCCCAATCACATCATTTCATTACACCATTAAATCACGCTTCACTTTTTCGCGTTTTTCTCCCGCAATTTACTGTTCATCTCCTTGCTTCCCTACTACGTAACTCTGAAAAAACTCTGTTTCGTCCCTAATGGCTACTTCACAGTCTCAATCTGCGCGACTCCTTTAGTTTTGATGACTTTCAGAAACTCCTTAATCGTCCATACATAACTCCGAACTTTCTCACATCCGCCAATGTCGAACTCAATGAGTTCTACCTAGGTCATTTCTTCAACAATGCAGAGGTAGTCGAACAAGCGGCGGTGGGCCAGCTGTTTCCTTGTACTCAAGACCCTCCATTTCTAAACTTTCTGCCGCTGGGGCCAATTCGCGAAAGAGGTATTCGCACTTGGTCCAAATCTGACGTAGTTTTCCGTAGGTGGCATGCTGGCCTTGTGGACCATGGTCCTACTAAGGCGCTTTTTGATAATGCCCCCTACTTTTGATTCAGCACTTTTTTCGATCGCTTTAAGTTTTTGGTCTTCTGAATATAATACATTTGTTTTCCCTCTTGGCCTCATGTCTATTACTTTAAGGGATGTTGGGGCCCTAGTGAATCTGCCACCTTTGGGCGATATCATTTTTCCTGGTATCTTAGTTTCTGGTGGCGCCCCAAAGTTCAGTAAAACCCTCACCGAGTCTTATTCAAGCCTGCAAATCCTTCATAACCATTCGAGCGCTGAGCCTTCCCATACAGAGCAAGTGGCCTTTCTTCTGGTTTGGCTTTGTAAATATATTTTGTGTCTGCCAAGCATAAAGCCCTCCCTGAGTTATTTACCCATAGCGCACGAATTGGCGCGTAGCAGGCCTCTGAATTTATGTTCTTTCTTTTTGGCTGCCCTCTATAGAGGTATGGCCTCTCTTCAAACTCAATTGAAGAATGGTGTATCTCCCACTGGCAGTGGACCTCTTTGGTTCACTCAAATGTGGTTGAAATTCTATTTTCCATTGATTGGTGCTCCATCAATTTCTCGTCCTTCTGCTAGCTGCTATGGGCTAGCCATTGAGCCATTGGCTCCTGTAAATATGTCTAGAATGGACATTTTTTTATTCTTTTATTCTTTGGATTCAATCCCTTCCTTCTTTCCTTTTCCTCCCTTTTTGAATCCAGACTATGTGCATCCTCCCTCCACTATAGACAGTGCGAGCAACTCTCTGCTCATTTGGATCCAGTTTTTAACCAAGAGG